TCCTTGCCTGCCACAGAGCGAGAAACCTCAACAAAGTCAAAGGGCTCGCCCCCTAGACCTCATCTCTCAACATTTGAATCAGCTCCAAACAGGGAAGATCAGGATCACAAGAGGTCTGCCGATCATCAGAGCAAAGAGAGGGAGGACAGCTCTGAGGGCCGCCACTCTAAAAAACACAAAAAGAGCAAGAAAAAGAAAAAGTCAAAGGATAAAGACAGACACCGTGAGAGCGGGTGAGTAACACCATCTCTTTTTCATATAACCGTTCACTCGATATTTTTAAGACCCCCCACAATATGGCAGGCTGTTTTTGGGGTTGTTGTGGCCATAAATGTCTGATTTCAAGACAGATTTTCAAAAAAAAAAAATAAAAATAAATTGTGACGCATGTTACTGTTTATAAAAGAGGGGTAACGTTAGCCATATGATGCTTACAGTTAGCCCTGTCACTGTGTGTGTGCCTCTGTCCCAGGAGCGTAGCTCACTATCCCACAGCATCAGTCTCATAAACAGAGAGACAGAGAAAGTGGAGGCAAAAATTTTTTAAGAGTCAAATGTGCGCTAATGTTGCAGTGATTTGACCAACATTGCAAGGCAGCAGAATTGGCTGAATTTGCATTAGGTGTTGCCATCGCAACATCCTGGAGGGGCTGATTTTAGGGGTTTGGACTTTGGTTGAGAAATCAGGACATTTGAAGACATCATCTTTGGCTCTGTGAAGGTGAGATTGGGGATGCACTGATTGTGTTATTCTGAGCTGATACTGATGTTTAAAGTAACTGTTTTGCTGGTAGCTGACAGCGATACCAATGTTTTTATGTTGTTGTTGTTGTTTATGCTGTTGTTGTTATTTATTCCCCCTTTTGTCCCAGGGAAACAGAAATCTACACTATAAAAAAATAACCGAACTGTTCAGGCCTTCATTATTTTATCTTTGAATGAGCACACATTCAATCATATAAATTTATTTAACAACCTTCAATATGACCTTTCACAGGAAAAACGTCTTTAAAAAAATAAGTGCTTAAATGTCTTTTTAGTGTTTATAATATATCATAATTCCCTCTCTAATAACGTTTTCAAATTTCTCCTTCAAACAACTACTTATTTTTCTCACCAAAAACCACATTACATTAAACAAATCACAATGTACCTTCACCTAATACTGATTTTTATTGAATAGAGTTTAAACGCATCATAATGTAACTCAATGCAACCTCAGTGAGCTGTTACTTGCCTTCACCGACTACAGATTTGTTGTGATGATAGTGAGTTTACTGTGTTCCTTCGTTCATACAGTGTCCAAGGGAAGCTCTCTGTTCGTCCCAAACATGTTTTTTATTGTCTCTCCTGAGCTACGGGATGCTGGCTGCAACTTGCTATCTCATCACACCACAGTGGGATCACAGAGCCCATTTGCCAGTCATTTTATTCTTCTTGTACCTGCTCTTTAATTTAAGTTTGTGGCCCTTAGTCGTAAGCCCTGCTTTTTAGCATGCACGAAGTTCATGTGACACAACAGGAAAACATTAGCCACTGCCATCAGTGAATGTCATCTCATTAGCTGACAGGCTGATGGCAGTTAAAAAGGCAAGTATAGCCAATACTGATGTTCAGCAGATAAATTGGTGCATCCCTAGTTGAAATGGCCATTTTCTTTTTTCAATATTTTATATTTTTAACAATGATGAAAACACTCAAGTTATAGCTCCACATTATTTGTCTTCAGCTGACAACAAAGCCCGACTCCTTAGTCAGTTTTGTATGAAGGCATGGATTGAGATGAATAATAATTGCGTGTCTTCTCCTAGGAGCTCCGAGGTTGATTCAGACAGAGCCACAGAAACAAAAAAGAAAAAGAAGAAAAAGAAGAGACAGCGGGAGAGCGAGGCTGAGCAGCACAGCCCAGGAGCAGCTCGGAGCCACAAGAACAGAAGTAGTGAGGAGAGGGAGAGCCGCAAGCGCCGTTACCATGACATCAAGGACGGCAAACATGACAATGGTTTTTCGCCAGAAAAACGTCGGCGCACAGACTGCACTGAGGGCAGCAGTGACCATCTAGTTCCCTCCCGTCACACCTCACCCACAAACGGTTCAACTCACGGCCATCTCAACGGATACACAGGTAATAAAGGTTTTTCACATTCAAAGTCATCCTCAAAAATAACTGGAATTAAAACTGAAAATAGATGCTGCTGTGGAGCTTGTTAGTTTAAAGAGTTGATCCTGTTTTGCAGGAAACGGTTACAGCCAAACCAATGGTGACTCCTACGGATTCTCCAGTCGCTTGAAACACTGACTCTGTGAGTGGGCGCCCTTTTAATGATTCTCACAGTATGCTCTACAGTCAACAGGAGGAACTCTTACTGTAGGTGCAAATTTTAGCTCAAACACATTGTATAAAGGCCTCTTCTTTCTCATTTCAGGCACATCACCACCATTTTAACAACAGCAGAGGAATGACAACAACGTGGACGTTGACGTGGTGCTTCTTTATTGATAATATACTGATCGGCCAAAACATTAAAACCTCAGGAGGGTGAACTGGATAACATTGATCCCATTTTACGATGCAGTGTGCTACAGGGAAACCTTGGATCCTGGCATTTATGTTGATGCCACTTGATGCACTCCACTACCCAAACGCTGTTGCAGCCACCAGACCCATGGCAATGGTACTCCCTGATGGCAGTGCCCCCCCCCCCCCCCCCCCCCCCCCCCCCCCCCCCCCCCCCCCCCCCCCCCCCCCCCCCCCACACCCAGCAGGACAGTACGACAATACACTATGCCACACTTCAAATACTGCTCAGGAACGTGGCAAAGAGCTCAAGGTGTCGACCTGTCCTCCAAAATCTCCAGATCTCAATTAGATTGTTCATTCATGGGACGTGCTTGTATCCCAGAGGTACCCTCCAGCCACAGTGGGGCCTCCTTGGATCGGGTTAGACACTGCAAGACAGTCCCCGGAGGTCCTGTGTCCATACCTCAACAGGTCAGAGCCAAGGTTGATGCAAGAGATACCCTGGATCCATGATCCACGGTGGGGCCTCCCAACCAAGGGGTACCCACGAACACTGACCCACAGTGAGGCCTCCTTGGATCAGACTTGCTCTGACCTGCTAAGGCATAGACACAGTACCTCTGGGGGTTATCCTGTGGGATTCTTTGAGTCTTGTGAGTGTGAAGTGGGGTTAGTCCGATCCGAGGATCGGGGGTACCTCTGGGATACTGGCGAGTTCCACGGATGCTCTATCAGATTGGGATCTGAGGAATTTGACTCTTTGTCACATTGCTCGACCAGCACTGAGTACATTGCGGTGAGGCGTGGTGCATTGTTCTGCTGGGGAGGCCAATGCCATGACGGGGTGTACTTGGTCAGCAATGGTGTTTGGGTGGGTGGAGGTTGTCAGGTGGCATCAACATGAATGCCAGGACACAAGGCTTCCTTGCTGAACGTTGCATTGTACCAATGATTGATCAATAGTTCCTACTTGACCCGCCATGTTGGTTTTAATTTTGCCGCTGGTCAGTGTATATGTATTTTTACCACAACTGAAGTGTTTTAAATGTTCAGCAAACTTTTTTTTTTTTTTTTTTATGGCATTGATTTATTTGCCGTAATTCTCCTAACTATGGTTTAAAAAAAACTGTCACCCCTTGAACATTTATGATGATAAATATTAATATATACTTGTATGAACACAAACAAAGCCTGGAGCTTAAACATCTCAACTGCTGCTCAGTGGAACTCAGGACTTGAAAACTTGTAAACATTCATGGCGGATATCCACCTGCTTCAAATCAAAACAAAACTAAAGGGAAACTGTTGCCTCGGAGACGAACTGTAAGGCATCACGTTGGAGTTCAAGATGTCACCATATCTACAGAGCCGCAATGTTTTTGAGTTTTTTTTCTTTGATCCCACTGGGAGCGGACAAATTAATGGAGGGAGATATTCATGAATGAGACAGACGAGCGCAGTGGCGGGAACAAGGCTTCGCTGACTGATACCTCCACATTAACCCTGGACAGACTTGAGGACATTTCTCAGCTTCTATTTTTTTTCTCAAGGTTTTCATTTTTGCTCTGAAGCCGAAGATTCACGCTGTAATTTTTAAACTTTTTTCACACAGACACAGAGGTTTTTCTCGTGGTCATGCCTCTTTCTCTCTCTCCTCTCTCACATTCTATTTCTTTTCAAACATTTAAAAAAAAAAAACATCAAAAATTTGTTATCATGGCTGTGGACCATTTGTGTTTGCTTTTTAATGAAAAATACAGTTTGTGTCTTCTAGCGTCATAAAAAATACTGTGAATTTAATTTTGAACTGTACTATCAGTTATTTTTATACGTAAAAATCCTGTATCAGGGTTATCAGTAGATGTTTTGTTTTTAGAAAAAAAATTCATGTTAATTTGACCATATTCTCTGGACAAAAGTTGGGAATGATTATGGTTTGATTTGGTTTGATTTATTTTTTTTTTTCCAACTTTTGACAGAAGTTGAAAAACTGCTGTTATACTGTTTTAGTTTAGCATGTCAGAATTTATACATTGTATAAGGTAAACGCCTTAAAATACATTTGTTAATGTCAGAAATTGTAATTTGTTTCTTTGTCTTTGACTTTGTTTACATGCTGCGCTGAAATGAATGGAAAAACACTGATTGAGATGACTGACGTGTTGCCAGGGATTTTTGAAAAGCTCCTGTCTGCCTTTGTATCATATACTAGGAATAGACTGATCGTATTCGAGCCTCTTGTTGAACAAACTTTCTGCTACCGTTAAATTAATGTTGTAGACACATTAAGTGTGGATGGAAACTGGAAGCACTCTTCTGTAATCACAAATAGTTAAATACGCACACATTTCTAGCCGTTAGGAAGACGGCTCAGCTGATATTTTATTCACAACATTTGTTTCCATGTTTGAAATAACCAAAGACCTGGTACGTTTTGTGAGACGAGCTCTTTTCACTGAATTCACATGCACACAAAAACTGTTTTCTGATCAGCGTGGAATTTTATTCAAAGTCTTCATCAAAGTATTCAGGAGCAGTTTTCCCAAACTAAAGCCCCGTCTACACGTATACAGATATTTTTGTAAACAGATATTTTTCTCTACGGTTTGGCCTCTCGTCCACACGAAAATGGAAATTTTCTAAAACACCTTCCAAGGTGCAGATTAGGAAGTATCGTTAGCCTGTACACTTTACTACCTTTTGTGATGAGGGGAGACTGGAGAACAGCCAACGTTGTCGAGAGTTTGGGGTTGTTTTTGCGTTCTAGTGTGGACAGATAATTTGTAAAACAAAGATCGTGTGAACAGAATTATTTTCTAAAACAGAGGGGAAAATATCAGTTTTCAAAAATGTCCACATACATGTAGACGGGGTGGAAGATCAAGCCATGTTTAACCCTCAAAACTCCAACTAATATAAGATTAGGCTGAAAGTCGTCTTGATCTCAGTTTGTAAAAACAGTCCTCATATTCCAGTCAACATTCACACGATTGGAGTCTTGAAAATTCCAGTATCTCATTTGTTTCACCTTTTTTCACAGGTGTTTTGAACCCGCCTATGTCCTACACTCTCTTGTCCAACTCAGCATAGTGAGTTATTCTTTCATAAACCATCATGTATTATCTGAATATTCAGTAATAACACAGTGCGAGGAGGTTCCACTGCTCTGCAAAGAGCTGCACAAAGTCCCTCTTCCACTATTGTAAACTTAGCTGTTAAACTGAAAAGGTGAACGGGTATAGGCTACGGCCGTTATGATTTACATGCTACATAAACACAACAAAGAAAAAAAAAAAAACAGTATGTACAATATATTCTATACATGCATAATGTAAATCAGGGGCTGCCTCTTTTGTTAAACAAATCAAGAAAATAAATACAAAAGAAACAAACTTGATCACAGGTGGATCTTCAATACATAAAATGAGCGTTTACAGAATTAATATAGGATGCATATAGCTTTTTAAAACTTAAAAGGCTCATTACACTCAATATATGTGAAGTAATAACCCTTTAACCTTCATTAATTCCTTCTCTTTCAAATAGGGCGTGTACTGTAAATTAAGTATATGAGTTGAGAATAAATCAGTGTGTTTGCATATACAGGTACAGTCACTTGAGGGCTGACAATCAGACCAGCTGATTTAGAAGCTTGAGGCTTTCTGTAGTTACAGGATACTAAAAAACGTTGTTGGTGTTGGCAGTTGTCGAAGGACATGTGAGGTGAACATAATAAAATGTTGCCTGGGAGTCATGTTGGCAGATGACCAAGCAGGCGAGCTGGTCTGGATGAAAGGAATGCCACATGAGGAGGATGGATGTTCAGGTTACAATCCTCCTGTAGGTGTAATTCCTCATGTGTCCAGCAGTGGGCGATCTCGTCACAGCCACACTATGTAAAGATTTCCCATGATCCCAGTCATGGCTGTAGTCCTTATTCTTTTGTCCATCTGTTATCATCCAGCTTAGTAAAGATTTTGAAGTTTCACTCAAATGACACATCAGTGTTCCGAGTCTGTGCCAGGTGAAATAAAATGGTTGAATCGACCGAGAGCTGAGGTGCAGACTATCTTCAGGTGGAAATAAACCATGTCAGTCCAGTAAACTCCCACCTGTGTCTGCCCTCGGGAGGCCTCCACAACATAACACACACATACACGCACAAGGACTCTGCTGGTCACGGACATTGTGGCGATGCAGGTGTGTATAAAGGTGGGCGGTCATCATTTCTTATTGGCTATCCTCCGCTTCCTGGTGGCCAGCATGTCGTAGAAAGGATCCCTGCTGATGCTTGCTCTGTGGAAAAAGGAGAGGAGGGAATGGATCACTGATCGACTGCTTTCAATTTTTCATGGCAATCCCACATACGCTATCTTATTTTGTCTGCAGGACTGATATGTCAAAAACAAGATGTATTTTTATTAAATCTTTTTATTAAATCTGTTGCTATAGAGATGAGCAAAGCACTGTTACCCATGATCAATTTGTGATGTTAAGATCATCCCAGTACTATTTTGGGACGAGGTCCACTAATTTCTCTGAGTACTAACTTGACCTTAATCTGTCTTGTATCTATCCGTCAGTGCATCACATCACGTCTTTTGTCTGCACCCGTTCGCTTTGATTCTGAGTGATCAACACCAAAATCTGACATCTACAGCGATTTGTTACACCTCTGAAACCTGTTCTTCAGTCAAACCTTACTTTCTGTGCTAAAAATATCTCAACATCTCACCATTGATGCTATCCACAGAAAACACAACACACTAACAACAAAATACACCCAGTAATGCAAAAAAAACATGTTGTCAGCTAGTCCATGTGCTGTATACAACATTCAGCGCATTAATAAAGCAGCAAACAACTCTTGCTATGTAAAGATATAGTGGAGTAACGGCGTCCTGAGCAGAGAATGAAGTCACGCTACCTCTGACTGTGTTGTAATATGAGTTTAAGCGTGCTAGCTAACTGGCGTACTAGCTAATCATCGCTCTGCACTGCGTCCATACAGCGGTTACTGCTGATAACATCGTCCCAACCAACATTGGTGCGAAGGTATTGTTGCAAACCACTCTCCGGTTCACCCACAGGTTAACACTGTTTGCTCTGTTAGCACAGTTAGCTGCTGAGAGGTTAGTCATTACAAACATGTTAGCAAATAGCTGCCTGGTTACACACCCAACAGACATGAAGAGACATTGTCACTCATTTGGAGTCATGTTTCTGATTTTCTGATGAATTTAAGTCCAATATTCAGTCTCTTATAGCTCTGTTTACTCCGGAGGGAAATATCTGGCTATTCAGCTGCTAAATGCTCCACTATGTTCACCAGCTAGCGGCTAACTTTGCCCACCATTTTGTGTAGGGCAAGTAGCTTAATTAAAGTGACAGTTAACCCCAAAATCAAACATACATATTTTTCTTCTTGTCTGTAGTGCTTTTTATCAATCTAGATTGTTTTGGTGTGAGTTGCCGAGTGTTAAGAGATATCGGCCGTAGAGATGTCTGCCTTCTCTCAAATATAATGGCACTAGATGGCACTCAGCTTGTGGTGCTCAAAGCATCATAAAAATACATTTGAAAAACTCAACAGCAATGTCTCTTTCCAGAAATAATGACCCGGTTACTTCATGGAGGAACTATTTTCTTTCTGCTGAACTACGCCCATTAACTGTATCACTGCACAGAGGAAGCATGCATCTACTCATGGATGACAGGGCCTCAGGAATACGCCAGGCAATGGAATTACAACTCCTGAGTTCGTCATGTGATGCCATTGGACCAAAAGATACTTCTCCCAGTAGACTTACATTGGCAAAGAGATGTCTGTAAATCAGTGGATACATTTTTTTGAGGATCTCAACCCTGCAAAATGACTCGATTCACTACCAGGATTTGATCCATTTGGTCCAAGAACATTTGGAAAGTCTGGAGGAGATGCAAGATTAAATCATTTTATCCCCATTCAAGTTAGGGGAGTGCTAAACTTTCCACAGAAATAGAGTTTTTTTGGCGTCATGTGCCACTGAGCAACCTTCATAGGAATTAATGGGGTCCCACCTTTAATGGCATCCTCCTTGGCTGAGCTGTAACCTTAGCCAGCTTACGTGAGCTAGTGGTTAGAATACTTTTGCTGCTATCTCATCTCCATTAGTAATAAGCTTCCCTCCACATGGTCATATGGTTGGTGGGTGTAGTTTGGGTCATGATTTCTGGAGAGAGACATTGCTGCTGAGCTTTTCAAATGTATTTTTTGGCGTTTGGAGCACCAGAAGTGGAGTGCCATCTAGTTCCATTATATTCAAGAGAAGGCAGACATCTCTATGGCTGATATCTCCAACACTCTGCAACTCACACCAAAAAAAATAGTTAAATAACACCACAGGTAAGAGGTGAAATATGTTTTTTGATTTTTGGGCGAACTGCCCCTTCAAAGTGGTTCCACAGCCCTTCTGCTCCCTATTGGAAAATCAAAGCACTGACACATGGAGGCTAAGAATAACGCTGAGTAACCCACCACCTTCACAGCAACAGAACATGCTGAGATTCACATACATACGTGTGTGTGTGCAGAACAGTCACCACAAGAGCAGTTTCCAGCCTTGCAGATGAGTCAGGTGGGACAGCGTGAATACAGTGTGTGTGTGCGTGTGTGTGAATCTGCTGACCACAGGACAGTCTGCCGCCCCAGCAGCTGAGTCAAGTGAGAGTGTGTTGGAGGCAGCACAGCTCCGTCCTGCTGAGTCCGAACTGTGATCTTTATTGTTCCAGCAGTGACCGGAAGAGACTTTATGATGTGCAAGTGGACTGAAACACCACGAGACAACACTCCTGGTTCACACTTTTGCTTATGTACTCAAAGCTCTGAGGCCTGCTGCAGGTGTGTGAAATGAGTGTCATCTGAAGGTCAATTGACTAAATCTCCCAAAGTGAGAAAAACGACCACCTCTCACCTCGTTCCAATCACGTTAACTGTACATGAAGCAGCCTCACCCAAAAAAATTTCCAGTAACTTAGCCGAAAAACCCATCACTTTCATTTAATGGACACACATATGTCAATGCTAAGTAGTTTTCTAATATCATTAGAGCTTAGAAGCATTGTGTAATATGATTTCTGTTGTGATATCGATCATATTTGCCGCTGAAGCTGCAGCTGAGTGGATGATAACCAGCGAGCTGATCAATTACCCACTGGGCCCAATTTACTGCAGCGCCTCCACTCTCCTTCATGTTTAACAAGGCACTATTTGGATATGACAAATCAGCTGTAAGGGCTGCCAAAACACTTCTAAGAGCGCAGCGAGGCATTGTGCTTGAGTAGGTGTGTGTGTGCATGTGTGTGTCTTTCTTTGCTTGCAGAGCCCTAATCAAAGGGAAGTGAGCTTATCCAGCAGAGCAGAAATCACCTCTGAGTGTTATCTGTGTGGAAGTGTGAGAAACGGAGTCACATTTAGTCACCAGAGTGTGTGTGTGTGTGTGTGTGTGTGTGTGTGTGTGTGAGTGTTTGTGCTGGTCTGCACATTTATGATTAAGCTCACAGCTCTGTGTGTGTGTGTGTGTGTGTGTGTGTGTGTTTCTCACAGTCAAGGTCAGACATGAGAAAGTCCCACATGGGAGCAGCCCGGCATTGGCTAAGTGCCCTCTCAGTGTAAATGGATCCACACTAACACAGCGTCTCTTACTTGATGGATTTGATCCACTCCTCCTTTTCCTCCGGCGTGGGGGCCGATATCCTGTACACCACGTGGTTGCCCTCGACGACACGCCCGTCCGCCTCTGTCTTGCAGGCCTTGATGACCTGACCTTTGTGGTTGGGGTTGTAGAGCTCGAAGCAGTTCTGGGGACGCAACAAATTGATATGCATGGTAAAAATAATAAACTCTATCTCTGACAAAATATAAATCGCATTTTCCATTTTACAAAGTTTCTGATCTCTGAAATGCATTGTAGATAAGTTTAGAGAGGCAAGACAGTGTTTGGAGTTGCTGCTTACAGGTTTCCTGGGCTCATCCACCTCTCTGATACTGAGGTTCTCCAGAGGAATAATCCCACGAGGCTCTTTATCCTGCAAACACAAACACACAAAGAGCATCAACACATCATTCATTAAGTGTGTAAATGACTCTTAGGACAAAATGAGTGTGTGATGAGGGTGCAATGTCTCGTAATGAACAAAGAATCAAGCCCAGATATCATCAAACACTCAAGTCATTGAAGAAACTGACTGAATTTTGTCATGCGCATATGACTGCACACCAACCCACAGCACAAAACTAAAATAAACTTTGCGGACCACAGGATCTAATCATTCAAATTACAATCTGTGACAGCTACAAATGTTATGAAGTTGTCACAAAGTTATTGCAGTAACATTTTTTGATGCTACATGCAGCTCCTTTAATTTCCACCACAGGACAGCTAAATATTAAACAGTTATCTTTACATTATATTGAGCCTGACAGTATTAGTGTTAAATTGAAGTTAGCGATAAACGCACACTTAGATTTTATTCATCCTGGTCACGTAAGGGACAGCACCCGAGGGAGACACAACCCTACACTCCCCACATCCTCCATCTTCCGTCCTCCAGCAACTGCTTTTGTGTCTGCAGGGCCAGATGTGAGGGGGGACCTTGAGGAACAGCCTCGTGTCCTGCCTGTCATCTTCCTACTAATGAGGGGGCACAGCAGGGGGAGGAAATGCCCTCAGACGGCTGCTCACAGCTGGCTGTGTGTGTGTGTGCTTGTTTGAGTGTGTGGACCCCCACTGCCGTGTGCATTTGTGTGTGTGTGTGTGTGTGTGTGTGTGTGTGTGTGTGCTTGAGGGGGGATTTTCTCAGAAATGGGGATGCTGGGTGCTGGTGTGAAGCGTGGGGTGACAGGCAGTTGGTTGGGGGAGGCACTTGGCTTGCGGCCTTGGGGGGCCAGATGTGTGCTGTAGACTTTACAGATGTTTCCCATGATGCCTCATGGTAATTGCTGAAGTGAGGTTCATGTAGGTCAAAGGGGCTGCATCTGTTAAAGAGCGGAGCTGAAAGGCAAAGACCTCTGTCTTTTGCTCTGTGTGTGACGTGTGCGTGTGTGCGTGTGCGTGTGTGATCAGATCCCCTATCCACTCCGATGGACATGACTTTTCTAGGGTGTCTAGATCTGTGATTACTGTTATGTGCTTTCAGTTTCAGCGTTCCACACAATCTGAAGTGGACTGCACTAGAGCCACGCCCTCTTTTTTAACAAACATGGCCGACAGTGAGGCAAGGAGTACTCCAGTGTATCTTTACATAGCAAATAGTTGTTTGCTGCTATATTAATGCTCCGAATGTCTCATACTTTAAAATCCACTCTGATCAAATATGCTTTTTTTGTTGGTAATCTGCAAAGAGATAAATATTTATGCAATATGCCTCCCGGTAAACAACAGAAAAACCCACACTGAGTATGTTCTTACACCCCTAAGAACACACCAATACGCCTACTTACTGTTGTGTATTCAAAGTAATAGAGGCAGTTGTCGGTCAGAATGAACCACCGCCTCTTCCACGTCTTCACCCTGCCACCTGCGGAGAGAAACACCAAACATTTGAGTTCATACTGAAGAGGTGACGGTGTTTGTGCATGTAGAAGCTAACATGCAGGAGACCTCTACTCCACGTGCCACATCTGGTTCTGATCATCAGCTCTCTGCATTATTAGGCTCAATCAGAGGTTGGATACTCCCTCCGGCACCCCCCTCTCCCAGCATCAAGAGATGGATGCCTGAGGGCTCTGCAGGGCTTGTGAAAACTGTTCAACATAGTGTTCGCTTCCAGGAGAAATCCCAGATCTGAGCATATCACATACACGTGTGACAACTGAAGCAGGAGTGCAATCAACTTGTCTGACCAGTGAGGATGATGGATCTTATGAGCTTGACTTGAGAAAAAGGCTTTGCGGATATTTTAAAAACAAAAAACAGAGGCAGAAGAATGTAAAGCTTGTTGTAGAGAGGGCGTACAGGTCAAACATCTTTTTAAAAACATCTTAATGTAGAAATACTATAGGGATTTCTCCTTGCAAGATCTCTTTGTCTGCCTCCATCATCAGATAAAAGTAGATTATTTGGATTAATGGATTTTCTGTTAATTACACCATCGGTGACGCCATTTACCTATGTAATCCAAAAAACATACTGTGGTTGATGTTAATCTGCATTATGTGCACTATAATAACATGTTTGCTGACTTTACAGAATGAGCACAAAGCAGCCGTTACTGATGTAATCAATATGTGATGTTCACTTGACCCAGATTTTCGTTCTACACTGCTAGCTCCGGTAAAATCCTATACGTCTATATTCTATTATTTACGAGCAATGTTTACTTTCAGATGCATCCGCTGCATTTCACTCATTAAAATGGCATGAGGGTGTAAATATATTCTACTATTGCTGGGTAAATACAAAATATAAGTTGTATTCTGTTACAGTCAACCATATGGCAGTCTGGAGAGCTGTTTATCCCACTGAACCATATGTTTAATTTCACCCTCAAAACCTGACATTTATTATGGATTTCTGCTGCAGGACCTCCCATGTTCGCATGTTTGTAATGCAGATTAATCACTCATTTGTTTATGGACACTCTAGAAAGGGAGTGCAGATAAAATGTGCACAAGTGTCAGGGAGTTTAAAGTCTGACATGACTCAGTGTGTTTTATTGAATGGGATAAAAAAAAAATGTTTCCCACAAGTATAAAAGCTTATTTGTTGGATGAATCTGAAGTCCTTGAATGCAGAACAGCCCCAGTACTGCACATTGAATGGTCATTTATCTAATCTAAACATTGATTAGATGGCGTGTTTGTCAGTTTACATGCTGAACACATTGCTGAGACAAGCCAGTCAAGAAGTCTGGTTATAATGCTTTGACATTACATCGCTATGTCCCATTCACTTCAGTTCAAATGAATGTGAAGGACAGGAAAAATTGTTTGCATTCGTCCTTGTCTCTTTATTCTGTCCTAGAAAACAAGCTATGGAAGCCCTGAGAGGCAAGTGAGAAAAAAAAGATACATATATATTTTTGGTTTTCCATCAGCTAGCTAGCAGACTATGGCTAACGTCAGTATAGCTAATGCGTAGAGTTGTTCTGCTACTAATACCAGTGTTAGAAATGCCCCTGATACTGCCTAAAATGATGGATCGGGTATCGGTGTGTACAAGAATCTACGCACCGATCTGATACCTCTTAATTTATCAATACATTATACATACACAATACACACTACTAATTTAACACGCCCAAGAATACCTGATTGAAAATGTCAAATTAAAAACCACATAACTATGGCATTCATTTCCTGTATGTTTTTATTTTTTATTTTTTTTAAGGGTGTAGCCTGAGCCACGCCATACAACAATGACAGCAATCTTTTCACATTCATATAGGCTTAGCAGTGTACAGCTTTTATATCTTTTTTTAACACCATGGTATCGGATCAGTACTCGTTATCGGCCGATACACAGGTTCATGTATCAGAATTGGTAGTAGTGAGAAAAAAAGGATATCAGAACATCAGTGCTAACGCTAACGGCAGATTAGCTTTAATTAAAATACATTTCTAGCTAAAAGAAAGACATAACAGTAATTAAAAACAACTCGCCAATAGAAAATTGAAAAAACGTGCTTGGAGAAATTGAAATTCACCCAGAAGAAAACGTGAATGCCTTTAATCCTATTTAGAACATAAGGTAGTGGTGCACTTCAGCCTCTTGTGGCCAAAATGAGTATTACAACAACAAACAAATTTTGTTTTCTCCTGTTTGATGTGTGGAAAAAAGCAACTTGGGAAATGATCCTGATAAAACTTCCTTCATCCACTTGCTTCACAGACAAAGAAAATGTCAACGACAATAAAAAGATTATCTGGGACAAACTTTTTTCTCACCTGTTCTCAAGTTACAAGCACAGAGGAGAAAATAATTAAACACCTGAATATTTCTTCTTCTCTTTCTTCACCTCTCAGAGCTTCCGTACGAGCTTGGCTGAACTCTCACAATTTTCCCACATGACCAACAGAGGTGCTTTTTAGTTACTCCTCTGTAGATAGTAAGCCTTCTGAAATATACGTCTAAATAACTGCATTTTATGACATGCTGTTCACGCTGGATGATGATGGATTCAGGCATGGCAGCAGGCTCAGTCCTGGTTAATAATGTAGTGTAATGAGTGCTTATGGAGCTTTACAGCCTCGTAGCAGTGCAGCAATATGTCATATTGAACAACCTGACAAGCCAGCGGAGTGCTTCGTTCAAACTAAGAAAAAAAAACTTCTCTCATTAAGCAGGGACTCCTCTGATGGAGCTAAAATTAGCGTGGAATTCACTAATGGGGAAAAATTGGACCTTAAATGATGTGGCAAGTGCAGCTGGTGGGATACAGAGCAAATGAGATAGAGAAGGGGGGTCTTTACAGGAAGAGGAGAAGCAGCAGTGTGGAGGACTGAGGCCTGCGGGACAGGAACAGAGGGAGGAGAATGACAATAGGCAAGGGTCTCCTTTATTTCACCGCATGACCAGCCACGCAGCGGTAGGTACGCATTCCCACAGCGCAGATTCAAGCAGCCCATTCACTAAAGCTGGAGCATGACTATGTGTTCTGGCAGATAGCCACACAGGAGCTGTATGTCGCACAGGGCCGTCTCTAATGGTATATAGAGCATGAGGTGACCTGTTCAGCTGAACCCTGCATGTTTATTTAAGGGAGTCTACGAGGAAGCAAATGTTGCTTAGGTCAGAGCAATGCACGTTAGCGTTACTTGGAAAAATATTTAAAAGCATGCAGCAGTTTGTTATGATTTTGATTCAGCTGTTTGGTTGACTCGCTAATGTTTTTTAGGTTCTCACACATAATTCTATGAGTGCAGCTTTGAAGAAAAAAAAAAAAAACGACATTTCTTGCCAAGCGATAGCTGAGAAGATTGATACCACTCATGCCTATATGCTAAATATGAAGCTAACATTACAGCCAGAAGCTTGTTAGTTTAGCAAAGCACAAAGACTGTAAAGAGGTGTAAGCAGCACATGTTAATGAGTGAGCTTTAAGGCGTGTTCACACCATATGCAGAGCAAATTTTTGGAAGAGCGAGATTACATACTAAGCTAACTGGATGCTGGCAGTACCTTAATATTTACAGACATGATAATTGTATCAATCATATCTAACTCTCAGCAAAAACGTAAATAAGCACATTTTACAAGGTTTTGCACTTTTTACACACAAGTTGCAATTTTCATCAGTTGCCTTGACCAATAGCTGAACTGAAGGTGTTATCTCAAAGTCACCAGCCTCCATTGACAAAAACAGCAACTGTACTTTGCAGAACATGTGAGTTGCTGGTTTACTGCTGCCTCCATCAGTTAGTGTCTAAGGTAAAGCAGGGAAAATATCCCAACCATAGCATACACTTTAAACTGATACTGATTTTTTAGGTGGGTCTTTTTAGATGGTTTAAATTCGTTAATGTGACCCCTGTCCACAGCAGTGCATTGTTTAGCATCTGTACCGGTAGATTTGTTTTATCAAAGGAGCAGTAACTTCAGATAGGGCTGAACCACCGTGTTTAACTCTTTAAATGACAATAAATGACAAGAGAATTAAACAAGTTCATCGATCAACTGCCAATTGTCTACCTGGAAGTAATTGTAGTTGTTTGCGCGATGCTATGGTGTTTCGGTCTATATAGAACTGAACTCAAAGCTGAAAGCACCTGTAATCTCTGGTATAATTGTCCATAGCATTGTAAAACTATATGTACCATCACTATAGTAACTACAGTAGCTCTGAGTATAACAAAATAATGCTCACTTTAATTTTTGCTTTCAAATAAGTAACATGTGATTTTCCCGTCTTTATCTGGTAATCATGCTTCATTTTCGTAAAAGGAAGCAGGATATTAAAAGGGATTTGGTGAGTGACACTGTGTTTTGATGAGGTCAACAGTTATCTTTTATACTTCTTGGGATAAACATCTGTTCTTTGTATGTGCACCAGTCTGAGACGAGCCCTCTGCGTCATCCAGCCTCTTTCAGAGCCACTTGAGAAATGCAGCCAATCCCCATGCAGAATGAGAGAGATCACTGACCTCCAACTCGCCTTGTCATTAAATGAGATAACCCATCACTTGACGATGCTTTTCTTATTTGCCCAATAACAGCTCTGACACAATAAGCCAATTAAATGAGGCGGCTAGCATGTTCAGGGGCCCTGTGTGCCAAGGAGATAATGGCAGCCAATGCCAGTGTGAGGGCACTCTGTGATGAACCGGGGAGGATGGAGGATGGAGCGTTACCTACCTCCTAATACAGAGATTTAAGAAGGAACAGCCATCACAGAACAGAATGAGAGAACAGAACGAAAGGCTGAAAGGTTAGAGAAAAGGGAGTGAGGAACAGAAAACAGAAGGATTTCCAAAGACAGCACTATCACAGAAATCACCATGCCAGTAATCACAAAAAGGAGCATGCTTTAAAGGGAGAGGAGAGGAAAGATAGGAGACACAACATGAGACAAAACGGAGAGGAGAGGTCACAAGATGAAGGATGTGGAAAGAAAAGACATTTTGCAGTTGCGTCACGGATATTCTAGCAACCTCATCTAGCACCATCATGAAGGGGGACAGTTTTCGGGCAAAAATTAGGCTGCACAATTTCAGTGGGCTGAAATTGGTTCTTGTATTGCTATTTAATGTTGCCACTGTAGGCTCTCTTCATCATCAGGATGGCTTTTAACAATATAACTATAACTATAACTAATATATGCACACAGGGCTGTTACCAGAACTCTTCCAAGAGCACAGAGCTGTACGATCAGTTGTTTAAAATCTATAAATCCATTGTCCAGTGTTCTCTCTGTTATCATAATCCAATGTTTTCCTCATGGTTGTATAAAGAGAACTGGATACAGCGTTTGAGGTTGAGGCCCTGTTCATTCCTATGAAAGTTGCAAAGTGGCTCATAAAGCCAAAAAAGCTCAATTTCTTTGGTATGAAATTACCTAAATCTTCCATATCATGGGGCCCATAGAGCAAGTGTACTAGAGACTTTTCACCGGCTGAGCAACTACCTTTTGGTTTAGCCCGGTGCTAACTTGAATGGGGATAAAACTATCTAATTGTGCAATTCTTCTAGACATAAGGAAGGTTATCGAATCGAATAGAGTCAAATTAAGTTAAGACAGTGAAACGAGTAATTTCACGGGGTTTTGTGACACTCAAAAAAATGTATCCACTGATTTACAGATGTCTGTTTTACAATGCAAGTCTATGGGAAAAAGTCTTTTTTGGGCACCATGGCATCACAATAGACCCGGACATTTTAATTCCATGTTTGGCCACTATGTGAAATTGGCTTTAAAGCCCGGGGCTAGGGGGCTTGGTTTTCCTTCATTAGAGGTTTGACTGGTGCACTTTTAATTGCGTCATCTTATCGCACCCTCTTTTCTGCAGTGGTATAATGACTGGAGAATTAGCACCACCTACTGCGCTGCTAATCTCAATGAACCAACTCCCAGTATTGTGACTTAGCAAACACCTATTTCTTGAGAAGAGTCAGCTCTGTTAACATGAATGACTTTGTTAGCTTGCCAGTTAGCCAGTTTTTATAGGTGAGATTGGCGTTAGCGTCTGTCAGCACAAACCTTGTATCGTTTCCCAAAATATAATGGGACAAACAGGGGCTGAATGTTTAATTTGGCTTGACAAATTCTAAAATTAAGAGACACAATCGACTACTATCAGCCATTGTTGCCCAAGAGCTGTCAGCCTCTGGCATAGCCGCCTGAAAGCTCATCGTACACACGTTACACACAAACAACACAAACACTCATCACCAGGGAAATAAAGGACACTGCTCATCAACCTGATGCTCTGCTCACTAATGATAAATCATCAGAATCAAGGTTACTTCTGTAACTCTGAATGTACATACCGAGCTTTAAGAGCCAGCCTTCTCTGTCGGGGTTGAAGAATGTGTGCGTCAGATCGTTTCCATCATCCTCTGGGATTTTGAAGGGCTCGTTTTTGATGCTGTCGTAAAGGTTCTGCAGACAGGAGATGAAGGCTATTAATCAAAAAGGTGAACAGTGGAGGAAATGTCTCATTCATATGGAGTGGGCTTGAGAGGACGGCCACAGGGATCAATCATCACACACACAAACACACACATTACAGATGAATTCTCACCCTGAGAAGCTCCTCTGGCAGATCTCCTCCTTCGTTGATGCCTCTGTTCATGGAGATGAAGCGCTCCACAGGGGGCTTGTCTCTGACGTTGGGGTTATGTAGGCTGGTGTTCAGCATGATGATGGCAAATGACAGCACGTAGCAGGTATCTGAGAGCGACAGTAAGGGAATCAAATAGTGTGTCCTGCCATAGAGACCCCATTTATACCTGACATTAACCTGCAATCTGTATCTAGATATCTATATCTGTTCATCACAGACAGATTGCACGTTACTACTGAGTCTAAATGAGATCAGAGTTGCACAGATTTTTCACTCAATACAGAACACTGCATAGATGGAACAAGTACAGTAGTAACAGACAGTTACATAAGCTGTCCACCAAGACCAAAAATAGGACACATTTACCATAATTCCTATGGTAAGTCACAGCCTTTACCTACAAGATTTAAACATATTGAAAGACATCACAGACAGCCTAAATTGTTTCAAAATCTGCAACATGTTAGTCTGGAGGTTTAAAGTCACATCTTCTCAGAGTCGGTGATTGAAGCTGAGCTTTCAGCTCTTTCAGAGAAAACTCTGCTGAGTCCAGACTGTTTATTTACAGCACAGCTCCACTCACAGATAATCAAACCTCCTACCTGCCTGTCAAACAGCAATCAAACCATATTCTGAATCTGAGTGAAGTCTTGCAGGAATCAGCAGATGTGGCTGCACCCTCTGCTGTGGTTCAGCAGCTAACAAGCAGAGCTAGCTGCTAATAGCCACTGCTGCAACTAACAAACTCCACAAATCCATTCAGCAGCTCCACCATCCACAGTCAGACACACACGGCTAATTATTTACTTCTGACTTACAGCTCAAAACTCGCGCTTACATATGACGCTGCTCCAGTGTGAGTGTTTTACAGGCTAGCGCCCATCCCGGTGCTGACTATTTACTGGAGTTAACCAGCCCGTCGGTGCTCCGATCTCAAATCGCTCAAACAGCATCAGAAAATAATTGCAAGCATGGTCATTTTCATCTTCTTAGCTAAAAACATTTTTCTGCAACGTTTCATAACATAATTTATCATTCTGTTCTCGCCTCCTCTTATTTTGAGCGTCCACTAACATTTTAGTCCCCTCTTATCTCGTCAGCGCATAAAACGTTCATTTATTCAAAAGATCTACTTTCAAATCATCAACATCTCATCTTTGCCATGGAAAAAAGGTAATTGATTAAATTATTTTGTCATCGTTTTATTTAACAAAAACACTGGCGTATGACAGGATGTCATCTGCATACAGTGATACTTAGTGTTCATTATCACCTTTTGAGTTTCTATTTTTTTCTTACACATATAGCTGTTTTTTTGCTGTTAAAGAGAACAAAGGGGATTAGCAGCCCTAATTCTTCTAAATGTGCCGTAGATTTTTTTTTTGTAATTGATTTAAATGTATTTTTGCAGAGGCAGATAGGAGTGAGAAAAGATAGACGCAAAGAAAGATTGTGGACTATTTTACCAGCACAGAATTTTTAGCCAGGATTTATTTTTAATAGTCATGCATTTGTACCGTATTTGAAAAATGTGCGTGTGTGTGTGTGAGGTATGAGTGAGAGTAAAGGGGGGAGGAGGGGCTTTAGCCTCTGCTGTGAGTTAATGTTCAGACACACATGGGCCAGTGGTTGCCTGTAAATGAATCATTCATTCCCCTCTGTCTGTCTCCTCTCACTGACACACTTTGGTCCCTGGCTGTCCTACACTGCCTATTGTCTGCCCGCTAACACACTCCCTACAAAAAAAAAACTAGAGGAGCTTTGCACACACTGTGTAATATGGGGCAAGAGGTGGTGCTAACTGTGAGAGGAATGTCAGCGTAATCAAAAAAATTGATGAGCATGATGAAGCACAGAGAGACACGGGCTTCTCATTCTACTGGTGATTAAAGATCCCTGATCGTTTTAGGTTTTTATGAGCTCAGTGTGCAGTTACTGCTGCGCACATGAATCTAAGCTGCTGTTCTGCCCTGCACCCACAACTGTCACACACAAACATGCACGCCGCTACTGAACTGACAGAACTTGGAGTATTCCCTCCACGGGACCACATGCACCTTCGACAATCTCGCACAGCAGCATGCTGCTCTATAACTTCTTTAATTATTAACTGACTGTTGTAGTTGGAGGCTTTGTTTATCACAAGACCATGTATCACTCAGCCAGGTTGAGTCTTCCTGAATAATGGATGTCCCTTGTTTGTTGCTGCTTGTTTACTCTGCTGCAGTGAACCGTGATCTGTAGTTAATCCTCATTGAGCTTTAGTTACAGTAATTCTTACGGCTTAATGATTAAAATGCATTTAAAAAAAAAAAACAGGCCATCGCTAAATGTATCCCAGACCCTCGGGCAGTACTTCTGCTGGTTCATTAGGCTCGGCTGCTTATCAGTGCATTGACTTTGTCCAATGTACTGGATTTCACACTTTGCTCTTATGGATCCCTGGGGGTACTTTTGCAGTTTCCAGTGGACATGTGGAAAGATTAGCTCAGCTAATTAAAAAAAATACTGAGGATGCTATTTGCTTAAAAATTAGAAATCTGCATTGAGTCATCTGTAACATCAACACTGTGGCTATCAGAGGGAATGAAAACTAGGCAGCAAGGAAGTAGAGAAGTCTCAGCAGTTTAGACAATATGTTGATTTATCTATTAGTTGATGGCCAGATAATCAATTGGCGACTATTTAATAATCAAATAATTGTTTAAGTCATTTATTTAAGCAATGAGTCAAACTTTTGCTGATTTCATGCTTCTTAAATGTGAGAATATTGATGCTTTTCTCAGTCACACAAGATAATACACTGAATAGTTTTTGATTTTTCGATTGTTGATCAGATAAAACATATTTCTTGAAGATGTCACCTTGGGCTATGAGGAATTACATTAACAATTTTCTGACATTTTATTGACAGAACGATTAAATGATCAGTCAAGAATATCAGCTGCAGCCCTACAACAGTGGCCAAACAGTTCATTTCATCTGACCAGAGTACCTTCTTCCATATATTTGAGGAGTTGCCCACATGCTGTTTGGCAAACGTAAAGTACAGGCTTTTTTTCAGGCCTCTCATCCATAAAGCCCAGCTCTGTGGAGTGTATGGCTTCAAGTGGTCCCATGGACAGATACTCCAGTCTCGGCTGTGAAACCTTCCAGCTCCTTCTGGGTTACCTTTGTTCTCTTTGTTGCCTCTGTGATTAATATCCTCCTTGCCTGGTTCTTGAGTTTTGGTGGGTGGCCCTCTCTTGGCAGGTTTGTTGTGGTACCACATTTCTTTGATTTTGCAATAATGGATTTAATGGTCCGTGGGACGTTCAAAGTTTCTTTTTAAAGCTTTTAAAACCCAACCCTGATCTGTACTTCTCCAGACGTCTGTCCCTGACCTGTTTGGAGAGCTTCTTTTTCTTTAGGGTGGGCCTACTGCTTGCTTGGTGGTGTTTCAGACTCTGGGGCCTTTTGTATCCAGGTGTAGATATACTGAGAACATTTGACACTTAGATTGCACACAGGTGAGCTAACAAATTATGTGACTTCTGAAGGCCATTGGTAGCATCAGGTCTTCTTTAGGGGCTTCATAGAAAAAGGGGTTAATACATATCCATGCACCATTTTTCGTTTTTTTGACTATTGTGTGTAGGCTATCTATTTTATTTAAATTACAGATTAAAATCTATCGAATTACAGGTTGCTGGAGTGTTTTCCTCTCGAATACCTGACCTGTTTGCTTCACTCCACAAAGGGACGATTCATGAAAATATGGACTCCATACTTCCGTTTCTCAAACTATTCTCAACTCTCAAACCCACTTGCAAGCATTTTGGTTGACTGACTTATAGACACTGCACCTGTTGATTGTACTGCTGTTTTGAATCCATATCTAAATGTTTAGTCAATTTTATTCTTGATGGTTTTGCACACCAATGTAGCGCTGAGCTGTTTGATGTTTTTAAATTCAACAAAAAATGAAAATGCCAAGGGGGATGAATACTTCTTCAAGGCGCTGTATCTATGGGTAACTTATAATAATAGGTCACTAAAAGTAATGCACAACCAACCTAAACATGACTGTTCAACTGTATGAAAAAATACTGTACTAGTGTCCACTTTTAAATAATTAATGGTGTTGGATAACATCCTGTTTAAAATCAATTCAAATCAACACATTTGGAGCATGGCAGGTGGGGGTCAATGAGGGGGCACTGGAGCTTGTCTGACAGGCCTGTGGGGGTATGCCTGACAAAAAGAAAGGTTGGGGATCACTGGTTTAAACAACAGTAGCCTGCTTTGTGTCTGACCTGTCGACTGGAAGACTCCGGGGTTGCACTGGCAGTACCGCGAGGCAAACGCCTCCATCATACGGTCGATCTTCTGGGCTTCGCCTGGCAAACGGAAACTCCACAGAAACTGCCTACAACAGAGAGAGAAGAGGAAGGGGGTTTAATTTGTGATGCCACAGGATGCACATGACTTAGATGTTGTACATTTTCTCTACTTAATATTTGGGTTAATTGTTCTGCTGACCGTAATGCTTGGACGAGATTGAGGTCTGCAAACTCATGCAGCTCCACAAAGGCCTGCAGCACCTTGATGTTGAAGTCGTCCCTGGTGGAAAAAAAATACAGATGAGACAATCAGATTTCCGATATCTCTAAGTCATTCCTTTTTTTTATAGAACAAGAAGATCATCCAGAGAAGATGAGCGATAACTCTAATCACAATGTCAACCCAGATGAGAGGGTGGAGAAAAACATTTTTCCCCCATGAAAGAATTTCTCAACCTGAATTCCTGTTTCTCAGCATTCCTGTCATGTTTGTGCCTTTATTCATACCGGGTGCTGAGCGTTAAGTCTGGAAGCAATTTTAACAGCTGGCCGATGTTGAGTGTTTCTCCATCCTGAGGGGGTGGGAGGGACGGGGGGGTGGGGGACGGTGCGTTCGACTGATGAAAACAGCAAAAACCGAACCCACACAGGCTCCTTTCTGTCAGAGGTTTATTTGGCCAGTTGGAGTTTTTTTTTCTTTGGAGGAAAAGTCAACAGCTGCTCTGAGGCTGCGGTCACGGCTTCTCTGATCATGTTTGTTGAACATCAGGGGCCGTGATCCTGATCCCGTAACGTCTGTGTGTTGTGTATTGTTCAAATGAAACCAGGAATTTTCAGACTTTTGTGGGATTTTTTGTGGCGAGACATTGTGGAAAAGGTTGAGAAGATTACAGTGTTGGCTTACAGGAAACAAACAACAAACTTGTATTGCAATAACAGTCTTGGATTATTTGGACGATGACTTCGGGGCTTTTCTTCCTCTTACAAGTACACTGGCATTTGCAGCCAAATAAAATGAACCCTGTCCTATGAGGGTTATACATATATAAGGGTATTGCTATAGGTACTGTTATGCACTTGCATGCTGTTTGTAAAAATAAAACTGTATATATGTGTCTCAGTGTGATAACGGCGAGTGTACAGTATGTGATAAACAAACCTGAGTTATACAGGAACAATACACAGGTCTGTTCCGGTAATTTAGGAGTCAGTTATCCACTCCATCTCCCGCTATCTATCCTCCTCCCGGCTATTTTTCCCTCTTCCTCCTTTCCACGGGTCTCTCGCTCTGTTCCCCTCCTGTTTTATCTTCATCTCCCTCCCTGCTCAGCGTGTAATGATAGGTTCCTGCTCCTTGCATAAGCTCAATTAGTGATAATTACTGAGTGTAAACCCTCCGCCTGTGTTAAGTGTGATTTCCACTGGGTAGGTGGCCTCTTTGATGATCCTCCGTGAATAAAGCCCATTGCCGGCAAGGAGTCCCCAGAGTCCCCCCTCCCCAACCTTCTGCCCCGTTCACAATGTGTGAGTGTGTGTGTGCATGTGTGCGTGTGTGCATGTGTGTGTGTGTGTGTGTGTTTCATTGTTTCTGCTACCGTCTGTTCATCTGCACCTGGGCTCAGGTAAGATAATACAGGCTGTAACTGATGTGATTTTCTGCATAAAAAGAGTTCAAACAGTGCTGCATTTTTTTCAGGATCCTCTTTTCAAAATTATAGTATGCTCATATAATATAGTATGGATTATACGTTTTATAAATTCTGTTTATAATCATCCTCTCTCTCTATATGCATTCTTTAAAAAGAGAGCACAGTTTTGTTACAGTATACAACAGTATATAGTGTATAACACAACTGGAGTATGATGCCAGCCTCAGAAATGCTTCTGATTCTTATTTACTCTGTGACATTTTCTCGTGACATTTGTGCCGCTAATCACTCGCCGCTGTTTCTGCTATGTCGATCAAAGAGTGCGTCTAGCCTGTGATGTTTTTTTTCTTAGATCTGTTGATTCAATGAATATTTCCCTCAGGCACAGCAGGTAGGAATACTCATGCGGACTACTCAGATTTTTTCTGTATATTCTTAACAAAATAGAGCTAGATCAATGAATTGGGCAGGTCAATATCGGCCAGTACTGGCTTATTACAGATGAACAGTTAATGGTGTGTGAGCTAATAAAAAATGCAGTATATAAAAACTTTGAAGGATCCTTATTAAGAATTTTTATGTGAAACACAAGCAGATTGGACGATACAGTTTGACTGCGGCTGCTGATTGCACCATGAATTGCGGATCGCTTTCAACTGCTATCTGCCTCGTCTCCAGGTCTGATTCACAAAGAGATATTGCGCTACAGATATTAGAGTGCAGGCACACCCATTCAGTTTTACAGCTGATTGCAATTTGCCTTTTTTGCATCTGACTGCAATTATCCATGTGGCAAAGTTTAAATGTTGCTTTTGCACCAAGAACACAGGAAGCAGAGGAGAAAAAAAGACGAGCTAAAACTTTCAGACTGCAAGCAACCGACAAGGCCCCGAGGCATTCCTCAAAACCTCAGGTAAGCGTCGCACACTCTGGCTCCATATGAGCCATATACACTCTGCTCACTCACTCACTCTCACACTTGTTTTCTACAATCAAGTCTGGTGCCAGTGATCAGCACCTTATTATAATTTTTGGTGTGCATTAATGTTATATTTCAAAAAGGGATTTCAACGTAACAAAAAGAAATGTCTTGGATTTGGGATCCTATATTAAATTGATTCAATTTGGGACTTAGTATCCGGATGTGTCAGTGCCCTTCAGTTACGACTAACTCTCTGAAAAGTTTTGCGACCTTTGTGAGAGGGGCCCATTTTGTGCCACATGTATGCACACTGCCAAATCTAAAAATGTGCAAATATAACAGGAGCACCAAGACATTTGGTATTATTTGCATTTCATTTTTTGTGGATGTGTTTTGAGAATTATTCCTTTTTGTCTTATTTGTGCAGATTTGCCAGTGGGTGTTCAGAAAAGCAAATATAAGAACTGGATATAAGTTGAACTGATTATAGGTTGAACTGTTGCTGTGTGTTTTATCAGCTGAGGATAATGAGGAGCAAAATGGATGCATTATTTATGTAAGAAATAGCACAGATGATTAAAGTCCCATATGATTTTCTCAGGATATGCATTGCACACATATTTCATTCATATGTGTTTTCCAAATTATTATCTCAAATTAAAAACAGATGACTGATAAATCAAGCTGTGGTTTTTGTGCCTGATAAATTTGGGACACTAAACCTTTGATGCGCTCGCTCTCTCTCTCCTGCAGCTCCCTTTCCTGGTTTTTCATGCAGTATGTTCTGTCCCTGTTCGCCTCACACAGTATGTTTGACTATCTAATCTCACCTTCAGATAACACCATACATCTCACCCGCTGCGTGACTTCCTTTCTTCTTCATTATCCAGCAGTCTGGCCAGAGATGTGAGGGGCTGGATGGCCATTTTATTACCAGTTATAAGTCTACATGGGGGGACTCTGACAAGACACCCGCACTGACTTAAAGATTCATGTTGGGGGGGCAGTCATGTTCTCCCTCATTAATCAATAAATCCAGGCCATAATTTCTTTCTCTAATCACAGAGGGAGCATAAATCTCATGTAAGGAGGACTTGATAGATGCTCTGCCTCACCGCTCGCCCAAGTAGTCTCCGATGACGGTCTTGTTGAGGCCCTCGCCTTTGTAGAGGAACTGGGCGATGTCTTCGGGGGTGTGCTGGAGGAGGTCGTTCTCCAGCAGGAACTGGATTCCCTGGAGAGGAAAGGGTGAAAACAGGATGGTTGTTCATCTCAATCGAGGGCAGATGATGGGAAATGACAGGGGTTCATGGCTGAGAATGGATCGCTCTTCACACCAGAAGAAAATTACTCCTTTCAAGGCTGCGGAGACAGTGGAAGATGTTAAAGGACATGTGTTACCTTCTTTGGATCCATGTTGAATTTTTTCCTGCCCATCGCGATCTGTTTATTTCTCTGGGATGTTTTACTGGAACACAGACGCAGAAAGGTAGAGATTTAATGAGGGTTACTGTCACTTATTTACCACAAACAACACTGAAAATAACAGACTGTCAGGTACCTGAATGTCAAAAACAACAATATACTTTATTTATAGTCACAACAGAGAGCATTATTTCCTGAATCCTGCCACATCTGTTCTACCCATTATATGTGTGTTCAAGTCTTATCTGAAAAACATATGCACAGAGACACCTGGCACGTAGCCTGTACCATGACTGTCATTATTGGTTTTATGCTGTTGGTTGCTGTGCATACACTGTCTTGTCAATAAGTCTATATTTTACCTATACAAACACCCGCGTAAATATGGCAACCTGATACTGCTATCAGACCCTTACAGCTGTGTCTATATCAGCCTACACCGACTGCCTTTGACGTCTTTGAGCTAACATGCAAATCCCAAACTCAGCTAAGACAGAGGCAATGAGTCACATAACAGCCATAACTCTGGCGGTGGCTATTGATGACTGAAGGTAAAAACCTGTGTACGTGTTATTTAACGCAGTAGAGGTTGTGGAGGTTATATTCTGTATATTTTTCTCCATGTATGTAGAGATTTTAGAGACATAAGGAGCAGTTTACATCCTACAAATGAATGTTGCTCACGGTTTCATGATATACATTTACTGCTGCCAGTGTGCTGATGGCCCTGAAATAGCATTTAGGCCTGGGACACATGCTGCATCTTTTTCTCACAAGGTCAAGCACCGGGTGCTATTCTTGTGCCTACTTTCAAGAGCGTGGAGGAAGGTGAAGGTTGCGCCTGACGATTCTTGGCAACTGTAACCCACTTATCAGAAATCCCAAGGTTCGGAGCTTATATTTTTTTCAGGCATTGTTTTTTCAAGTGTGTATTAAATACATTCAGGGGACAGATCGCAAAGCTCTTTGTAACCGTGAACTGACACTATCAACTTCTCCTTCAATTTTTTGAAAAAGGTAAAATGTGCAACGTCATACCATTATAAAAGTATTGTGGCGCTACAGAGATGCCCCAGCATTTCTATCATACTCCAGACGTAAGACAACATGATTATTTGGTGCAGACCCCAGCAAAAATTGCATCATCATACTTTTCATATTTTTGTAAGTGTAAATGAAATGCAAAATTTGCCATTTCCACTGAAAATAGATAGGGCTGCATCGTGCAGCCCTACAGCTGCAATTGGTTGTTCCTCGTCACATGACATTTGATGGGTGCTGCTGCATTGGAAAAGCTAAACTATGTTTATCTCAGGGTGCAGCTGTCATGACCTGAAACATAGGCACTTTGAAACACTTCACCTTCCGCACATCTACATTAACGACAATGGATTTGCGGGCGCCAACATTTCAGCATGTGTCTGGGCCAACAGACTATCATACTGCTGTTATGTGAATAATAAAAATCACAGAAAACATCGCTTAACTAAATGCAAAAATAATGTGTGAAAAAAATCTAAATTACCAGAACATTGTAAAAACTGGTACTGCTTTGGCTCCGGTGTCATCATGTTTCTAGTTAAGACTTTATAAAGTTCACTTGTACAATCTAAGGCAATGCAATGCATCAGCTCTGCCTAAATTCTGCCTCTATGAAGCTTACTCATCTACACATAGTGTTGTCAAGCCACTAAGTGCTTAACAACACTTAATAAATGCTCAGTTATTGATATATTAGAGATGTAAACACTGCATAAACTACATGGGTGCAGTATGACAAAGCATCTCGACTTACCTTTCTCCAACACACGTCAGCTGCTCGATCTCCGTCATGACCTCTGCTATCTCAAACTTCAACCTCTGAGAGAAACAATTGAGAAGGTCAGTTTCCTTCTTTAAGTTCAAGCACCTTCTTAAAGTTCAAACACGATAAAGTCCAAAAAAAAAAAGCTTTAAAGCATTAAAAGGACGGAGAATGAGCAGTCCAGTAAGCAGTGGAAAATGCGTTACTTTTTATGAGCAAATTGGGTGTGCAGTAAAGTACTGTAGGTGTATTTGCATTACTTACAGCATGCAAATAGACCTTCTGTACTGAAGTCGATAGTAGATAGGCAAAATAAATTAAAAGGTCAGAAATGACTAAGTAACAAGTATATACAGTACTCCAGTTTTACATTAAAGCAGACCTATTTTACTTTTCCTTATTTTGTGTCATATATATAATGTTACCATGTCGGATGTTCATATTGAAGATGGCAAAGTTTTAAATAATGAGGTGAACATATGTTAAAGTAATCTATGTGAGCAGAAACTTCAGGCTTCAGACTGTTGTGAATACTCAGATTTTTCTACTTTGGCCACAAGATGATATCAGATCATGATGGATTTCCTTATATGGTCATCTGCTCCAGGCACACTGCTGCAAGTGTTTACATTATGTATCCTACACTAGCCGGCAGCGGAGGTAGCAACAGCGCTGAATCGTCTGTGTAAAAGGGACAAGGTGGGCAAGGTGGGTCCATGGACTTAATGGGTGTGACATTTGTAAAACATGTTATGTGTGCAACCCACTGGCAGGAGGGTTAAAAAGCAGCTGGAAGCAGTTAGCAGCTACACGAAAGAAGAACAGCAGCCGAAAAACGTCCAAAAATTTGGAATTTGGAGCTCCTTACCGTCTGACCTGATTAACTGCCATTTAACAAATAAATGGTAAATGGTTGTTATTGCCACACTATTGCCAGTGTTATTGTTTATAAAGCGCTATCGACGATAATGTTATATGTAACTGCAGACATGGATGCTGTTGTGTACACGTTACACCCATAACACCTCTTTGCCTCTGGAATGCTTGTGACATTGTGCTGCAGTTGTTTGTTCCTGTATATAAAAAGCAAAGGCGGCATATTTAGGGGACATTGTTGTGGCCCTGTCGGTGTAAAAAGGGCTACTGCTACATGTAGCTACATGCTAACGTCAAGGATTGCCAATGTTATTAATTTCTCCCTGATTTCAAATCACATGCCTGCTGAGGCATGGTTAGTTGTGAAGATTTTGATCTAGAAGCTTTTATTGGTGACATTTTACAGTAGAACTCTGACCAATCAGAGCAGACTGAGCTTTTTTCATGAGGGGGTCTTAAAGAGACAGGCGCTAAATCAGAGCTTCTCAGACACGGTGAATGCAGGTGTTCCATCACAGACAGTTTGAGGAAAATAAGGTGTTTTTTGAACATTCAAGCAGTAAGTTGACATGTTCTGGTAGAAACCCCAAGTACAAGTATGCCCCTGAAAATGAACAAAATAGCTCTCCTTTAAAATTATCTTTTAGCAATATAGTACATGACATGTATCAGAAAAACTATATCCTGTATCTATCCTGTTCTTTTTGTATATGCTCATATGTACAAACACACACCTCAATATCATCGAGCAGCTCTCTCTTCCTGCGTCGGATGTTTGAAAGCTCATCCCTCTCCTCCAGGGACAGATCCTCAGGAACTGAAACACATGATGGAGAAAACAGAGCAGAGCTTAGCTATCATTTGTACACAGGTTGCATCACTATAACCACTCAGCTCGCTGCACATGAGAGAAAACAGAAGTCTATTTAGCACCTACACGTTCTTAAGGAGTTCACAACCAGAGATGGAAAATCGGAAAAGGATCATCCTCCTCATGTGGTTAAGTGACAGGTCTGCTACTCAACTGACTGTTTCAGCTTGTTTAGCTGCAGCAACGCATATCAAGAGCCTGCATGTTCGTCTTAATTAACTAGAGAAAACGAGAAGGCGAAGGGTCTTAATTATTCCACTTGAAAGTGTTTTACCCCTCTCCTCCGCCTCCACTTGGCTCAGGGGAATATTCTATTAATAAAACCAATCCAGATTAAGTTTTCTTTCATTAAAAGTGAATTTACTAATTTAACACGGCCTACGACCCTGATTCCCAGGCCGTGAGGGTTTCAGAGCTTCCGGCGAAAAGAGGGATAGATGACTCGCTTTCTGTTTCGTGTTTCCTCCCCCCTTCTTTTCCACTCTGTCTTTCTGTCTCAATCTTGTTTTCCAATCTTCTATCCCACTCCTCTCTCTCTCCCTGTGTTTCACTCTCCCCCCACGCACACTTTATTTCTCAATTTTCTTCATCTTTCTGCAGAACAGCGATTCTGAGCGATCTCGCTTCATTAAGCCAGCTTAGAGGCAGAAAACGCAAATCTCTCAACTGGAAAATGGCACATCTAATATCACAGTCGCAGCTTTGTGCCTACATGTTGCCAAAGGAGAGATATATAAAAAAAACCATCACTTGTTATTTTCCCTCGCAGGCAGGAAGCAGCGCCAATTAAAGTAAAACAAGGTCACTGGGCTCAAGAGGAAGCATTCAGCCGGCTTTTAATTCAACAGCTTGTAAAAGAGTTGAGTTCAGGGGAGCCAAGTATTGTTATAGATGGTATTCAACGCTGAGATGAAAGGCGTTTCCTAACCTAGTTATGTAATCCTGAAGCACTGTGATGAGGGTCAGGTAAACAGCGGGAGACACGGCTGAGGGATTTCCTCTGTGGGTGATGTTTTTAATAGACAAGAGAAAGAGGGGGATATAAATGCACAATGACTGAGAGTCTGAAAATAAAGATGGTAATTAGGATTGCTGGCTTCCAGCTACCTCACAGCACTTATGCAATGGGCTACAAATGTGAGCGCTCTGAATGTGGCTTTGAAGCCAATTAGGGCTCTAACAAAGTTTCAAGGCTGTTTTACACAATTCTTTTATCTTGTACTTGAGGACTGCTTTTTGGGTCTGTGCATGTGTCCTATATATATCTCAAACACAACAAGAGTTAACCTGGGGGACACAAGATCCCTGGAACAGTGCCTGGGTTTGAAGCCAATTTTAGATTGTGGTCAAATGTAGAATTGCAACTTGCAGGTCTGTCATGGGATGCCATGATGCCCAAAAAGGACTTTTTTCCCATAGACTTACATTGTAAAAGAGATATCTTTAAATAATCAATGGATAAAATGTTTTAACATCACAACCTCCGCACAATGACTGGTTTCCCCATTGGGATTTAACACTCCCACAGTCTAAAAGAGCCGCATATTTAAATAATTTTATCCTCATTCAAGTTAGCTGAGAGCTTAACCGGAAGTTAACCACCATTTTATTGTGCACTTCCTCTGTGAGCCCTAAGATGCGGAAGATAAGAAGGTAATTTCATTTCCAATTTCCTTGGAAAACAAGCTTTGGGTGCGTTCTGAATCACATACTTTTTCTTTTGTACAGTACATACTGTTGCACGCAGTATACACACAATCAGGACATGCTATCCTTCATAACATTGTGCCAAGGTCTTTGACCCTCTTGCTCATACATCCATTACCTTGGAGATAAAACAAAATGCTATTTGCAGTTTGCAAGAGATGGAGATCAACACGGACAGCAAAATTTTAAGTAATAACTGCATATATTGTAGATTCTAACATGTTATTTCATATCAGTAAAATTAAAAAAATATTTTATATTATGTCCTTTTTTTGTTGGTAATCTTCATTATTATTTTCTTCACTTAAACATTAATATTCCTATAGCCTAATTACAATTCAACTTGTCAACAGTCAATTGAATGTGCTGTCATCCTTCATTGCGGCTTCTGACAGCTGTCAACAAGCTGTCATCTGTCCTCAGCTCAGTCAATGTGACGTATCTTTTGCTCTGCAGAAGACTGTGAGTCAGAAATCCGACGGGATCCAGAAGGACATTCTGGTATTTTTGGCATACTGCATTTGACATACTATGAATTGGGACATATTCATCATGTTCATCTGGCATACTAAATAGTGTGGTAGGATGGGTACTGGAAGTTTTTTAGCTCCATGCTCCGCTGAGCAACTCTCATAAGAATGAACAGGGCCCTGCCTTCAATGCCGTATCCAGTTCTCTTTATACATCACTGGGGGGGGAGGAATCACTGCATTGTTGCACTGGGTATGACATTTTGGGAAATACTCTTATTTGATAGTTAGATGAAAAATTTATGTCAATCTTATATTTGTCCAGAAAATATAAGGCTGGAGCCAGCAGCCGTTTAGCTTAGCTTAGCATAAAGATTGGATGTGGGGAAGCAGCTAGCCAGGGTCTGTCTGAGGGTATGAAAAAAACCCTACCAGCACCTCTAAAGCTCACTTATTAACATCTTGTTTGTTTGATTAGATTCTGCTACTTTCAGACGGCTAGCTTAGCTTTTTGTCTGTGCTGCTAGTCTTTCTGCTAAGCTAAGCTAACTGGCCACTGACTGCAGCCTCATATTTAATGGACAGACATGTGAGTGGTAGCTTATCAATAGACCTTTTCACAGCAGACATTTTCACTTGTCATAGTAGTTAAACTAATATCGTTATGGCTCGGTGCCATGAAGTGTTAAAGTGACAGTGAGCCATCATGCACGATACCAGCAACCTGAAATGCAGTCATTTTAAAAGTCACTGATTACACCTTTCCTTTCCCTTCTATGATAAGTCAAAATGTCTGCTGTGAAGAACCTCTATGTTCTCATCTATCTCTTAGCAAGAAAGGAAATAAGGGTATTTGTGGGACTACTCCTTTAAACTCACTGGCAAATGAGGGCATTAAAATGAAATGTCAAACTCTTTGACTCAGATACAACCAGTTTCATTTTGACAAAGCCTGAGGGTCGATGCATTTCCTCTCTTTGTTTTGCTGGTTATAAAAAGACAAAAAAGTACTTGGCCTGAGGAGACACTCTAATTAAAGGTCAACATTTTAAACCTCAAAAGCTCATTTTTGCTGCCACTACACTGCTCATATTTTGATAAAACTAAGAGATTACACATCTTGCTACTAAATGGCCCGAGGTTTGAGCACATGATTATTAAATTCATTCATGAACTGGTGTGACAGAAAACAAGCATATACCAGACTATATTTTGCAGAGCTGAAACACCACCTAGCGCCATAATGCTCTGCGCAAACATACTAAACTAAATGGTGAACAAGGTAAACATTACCTGCTACACATTCTCTTGTGGTTAAATTAACATAGCTTTGTCATTGGGAGCATGTCAGCACCACTGTGCCCAGGACAGCCTCTCTCGCTGCTAGCAAGGCTGTAGACTCAAACAAAATGTCAAAAATACATTGGTTCTTGCTTCTTAAATGGGGAAAATATGTGGTATGCAAAAACGTTAAATATCGAGATAATGATATTCCTTCCTAGGCTGTTCCCATGCACTGTTTGTACGTTTTCTTACGAAAGAAATGCACCAATATTAGTACATATCCTGCGTAATCATGAGCTAGTTACTAATGTATAACCTATGCATATGGAAAGGCTACACTCAAGACTAATGTGCTGACATGGGTAAAGAATAAAGAAGGAAGCAGTTGCACTGGGAGGCAGGTTGGGGTGGTGGATGGGTCACAAAAGACAGGATCTTCTCACAAGGACTTTCCCCAGGAAACCAGTGTTTGAAACCGCACTCTCCCTTCCTACAGCAGACGTCCACCCTGCATCACTGCTTTTTGGTTTTGCACCTTCAACACCGCCACAACACACCTGACACACATCCATGCATGGCTTTCATTACTGACTTTGATGACCTACACACTCCATTGTTTAAATCAATCATAGTTTCATAAATTCTGGTGGTTTTAACTAAATCTTTTGTGTGGACTTCCTACTTGTTACATTCACTAAGCCAGTTTGTGACTAATGGCGGCTCATCTGAGAACACCTCCGTAACTTAACGTTGATTGTGTTACTTTACATTGTGTACATAACATAATTCATGGTGTGCTACATCGTAGGATATCATACGACCCTTTGAGTGTACATTTTCGGAGGATATCATATCATATATTGTTAAATGAGGATACGTTGGACTTGTAATATACAGATATTAAAGTGTATTCAGTTCTCCTGTTTTGCAACATTGTGCTTTTTGAATAAAAAAAAAAAAAAAACAGGAAATTATTCCAACATTCTTTTATCAAACAAACTGAACACTGAGCTAAACACAAAAGGCACCAAAGAATAATGACAGTTAGATTTTAAAGTGCAGTTTTCTACTAATACTTTCATTCAACTAACTCATAACATCCCTTAGTGCAGTCTACTGGAAGTTGGCATTGGGATCATGACAAAAGAACGATATATTGTGCAGCTCTAATAAACTTTCTACTAATACTTTTTGGTTTTGAGCTGATGCTTGGACAAAGCAAGCATCTGGAATATGTTAAAGGAGCTATATGTAAGAAATATAAAGCAAATAGTCATAAAATCCTCCTAATATGTCACAGAGACTAAGGAATAATGTTCATATAACAT